AAAATATATATATATATATATATATATATATATATATATATTTATATTTATATTTATATATTATATATATATATTTATATATTTATCATTATTTTATATTTATTTTATATATAATATATAAATATAATATATATAATATTTATATATATATAATTATATATTTTATATATATTATATATATTATATATTATATATATATTATATAAATATATATTTATATAATATATATATAATATATATAGATAGATAGGTGATTCTTTAACAGGAGAACTGTGCATTTGCCCACAGGCCTTTAATCACTTTGAGAAATAAGCAAAATATAGCAAATATTTATTAATTCAGAAAATCCTAACCTATCGTAGTAAAGAAATTGATACATGTGTTTGTAAGGCCCAAATGAAATCCCTGACATCAGGAAGAACAGAGTACTGAAGGAACGTAGGGAAGGAGTGATATTTGTCTGAGTGGGGGCCTGAGGAAAGCTTTGACAGTATAAGGACCATTTCTGCAGAGCTGAGAAATGTGATGAGAAATCTGGGAAAATGGGACTCTTGCTTCCCCACCGTGGAATTTCCTTTTTTCACCCTATTGCCATGCATCTTTTTTTTGTTCCACTTGGAATGACCCTTGTTGACATACTTAGAGGAGAATAACTTTCCTATGCACATTAATGAGATTATCAGAAATAAAGTATCTTATTGATGTGTATGCAAACCAAATTTTCAAACACATTACTAAACGGTATCTTGGAATGGGCGGCTGGGCGATGTTTTTCAGGTTGAAAATATTCTCTTGCATGACCGAGGCCACTACGTCCTGTGTGACTTTGGAAGTGCTACCAACAAATTCCAGAATCCACAAACTGAAGGAGTCAATGCAGTAGAAGATGAGATTAAGAAGTAAGCTTTTCCTCCTTTCTCGGAATTTTATCCATTATCGAATCAGTGGTTTTACCTTCAGCTTATGATTGAGAAGGTCAGGGTGAGAAGACAGTGGTGCTTGTCAGTTGCCCCTCGTTGGCAGTTGGGTTGTTCGATTTTAAGTGGAGGATGGGGAAGGGGTTCATGACCATTGAGCAGTGGAGTAAAGTGAAGGAATCTTACAGCACTTTATCAATGGTCCTATGGTCATTATACATGGATCTTTTGATTTACATCACATAGCCCTTAAAAAGGTGCACACACCTTAGAAGTACTGTGATGTTTTTAAGTGGGATCACGACAGCTGTGACATTACCAGTCAGTTGGTTGTGCTTTTTACTGAAACCTAAATGGCTGTGTATTCCTTCCTGCTCATAAGGAGCTCACCTGCAATCTAGTGGAATTAATGGTGCGTAGGGCTGTTCAAGTCTCTACAGAGAGTGAATCACTGACTTCCACGAGAAAAAAGCTTCTTTAGATTTGTGATTCCAGTAAGAACCTGACCCATTTTCCCCTGTTGTCCAGAGTGTTGGATTTTTCACAGGCACCAGCACTCACTATTACTGCTCATAAATCAGCAGTCTAGAGTGCACACATATCCTGATCCTCTCTCTCCGTTCCTGCTTCACGCCTGGCAACCGAGCCTGGGGCAGGAAGACCTACGGTCCAAGGCCCTGATGGGCACCTAAACCGCAGTGCAAATCACAGGCTTGGTAACACTAAGACTCTCACTTTGAAGATGAGCTTATCCTTCTCTTTTCTTGAGCCAGAGATAAGAGGAAAACTGTTGTTTCAGCCTTATGCTGGCAGCAAAGATCCATCCACCTCCCAACCTAGCCAGGGCCCACTTTATTCCTCCTGAGTGTTCCAGCCAGTATTACGTCTCTGTGTCGAGCCACATCCAAAGGGATTACTATTTTAAAAAAACAAATCAGCCAAGTATACTATCAGACAACAGGGATTTACAGGAGAAGATTTTGTTATTTGAGGAGCAAGAAATGTTGCTTTTAGAGTTTATTTAATGCCTTAGTGTCTGCGTCCCCACCTGCTCTTAGATTGGAAGGACTGCAGCCAGAGGGCCGTGGGTGTGTGCCAAGGACAGCTCTTCATTTCACCTGCACTAATATTCCATACTGTCTTCTCCAGGGTGCTCCCAGGGAACTAGACTCTACTAATATATATATAAATATACATATGTTTTTTAAAGTAATTCTGCTACCCCTGGTTTTTAATTATAGCGTCGACATATTTAACAAAAAATGAATCTCTTGATTGTAGATACACAACGCTGTCCTATCGAGCACCAGAAATGGTCAACCTGTACAGTGGCAAAATCATCACTACGAAGGCAGACATTTGGGTAGGTGTCAACTAACCTATCCACATCTCAGATGTCAGCAGTCTTGGCCGTAAACTCCCAAGTTTAATGCAGACAGTGCCATAGCAAGAGTGGCCACTGTACCATATCATTGTCTACTTATCCCTCAGGGTTATTCTTGACTCGAGGTGATGAGCCACTGCTTCTTGAAGCATGTCAAAGAAAATTAGTTTAGACCTCTGTGAAAGTTATTCAGGTGACCTGCCCATTATCTAAGTGGTTCTCACATACGTGTTACTAGTTCTTAAGAACAAAACCAGCTGAATACTTGTTATTTATTGGAGCACAATTTGGTAATGAGGATAGAAATAATATAACTTGGCAGATAAATAGTGATGTGGGGTTCTAAATTCAAGTTTCTAATGGGTTAATAGTACAGAGTGTTTAGATTTGCTGTAAATGTGGATGGTGCCAGTATCTCTCAGCAGACCCATTTGCAGTTATGATAAATAAATCACTAGTTGCAATCTGCTTTTTTTATTTTTTTAGGCTCTTGGATGTTTGTTGTATAAATTATGCTACTTCACTTTGCCATTTGGAGAGAGTCAAGTGGCAATTTGTGATGGAAACTTCACAATTCCTGATAACTCTCGATATTCCCAAGATATGCATTGCCTAATTAGTAAGTATTTAAAGTTTCTAGATTCACATTTTTATTTCTAATCTCTAGGAGTGGATTGGAGGATAAAGGGATTAGATCCCAGGAGTGATGAGTGGGATGCAAAAATAAAGAAATCAGTTGATAACTGTTGGTCACTCAAAGACCATGTGACGGTGTCTAGTTAGAGTGGTGAGTCTTTTTGCCAGACATCTAAACTTGGTTTCACACCTGGGCTGGCCACCCAAGCAGAAATCTTAACTGGGCTTTGAGCATTACAGTACTGCCCTGTTCTCTTGCAGTCTGTATGAAAGCTCTGGTACCAAAGGAGTCCAGCTGACTCATATCAAGCGATAAGAAATTCATCTTTGCAAAACTGGAAGCAACTCAAATTAAAATGATTGCAATGTGTTGGCTGAAGTGAATACATCATTAAGACTATATAACTCTATGGAACTAGGTTTTTTCCTCTCATTTAGGTTAATCACTGGATTTTGATAAAAAGCATTTAAACTCAATGCTTTAAAATGTTTTTAAGATTCCCCACTCTTTTGTATCATCATAGTAAGCATATGTACTAATGTTCATTAACCAGATGGCAGAAGAAGTAATTTTTGCTCAACCCCCTGTATTGGAATGCTAAAGAAACAGAGATTTTTATTATCTTTTTACTTTGGTCAAGATGTTTAGTATCCACATTTTAACAATCACAGATTGTAAATCCTGAGTAATGCACTTTGGGTCCTAGGTGGGGATACACTTGGAGAAAATAGAAGAAGCAAATGTAATGTGGTGCGGAGCATCTGACATTTGTTGAAGGCCTACTTGTACCTCATTTAATTCTTAAAACCCTATATAGCAGGGGTCCCCAACCCCCTGGGCCGTGGACCGGTACCCATCCATGGCCTCTTAGGAACCCAGCCACACAGCAGGTGAGCGGCGGGCAAGCGGGCGAAGCTTCATCTGCAGCTCCCCATTGCTCGCATTACCGCCTGAACCATTCCCTCGCCCCCCCTGCCGTCCATGGAAAAGTTGTCTTCCATGAAACCGGTCCCTAGTGCTGAAAAGGCTGCTATATAGTAAATATAATTATCCCTATTATACAAATGAGGAAACGGAGCCTCAAAAAGTATAGGTAATGGACCCAAGTTAATATAGTAGTAGCTTTTAAGTGACTACCCATTCCGTTATACTAGTTTACACGAGTTTTATCAATCCGCCTCTTCCATTTATTAATACAGAAGCGGGAGCAGTATTTAAAGGAATGGAATATCGTGTTTAATGGTTGTTGGATGTTTTCAGAGGTAAAGCATTATATTGATATCTGTACTAAAATTGCAGCTGTGTAAATGAGATTGCAAGGAAGTATGGGGAAATCGCCAAATTTATTGCTAGAATGGTAGGAATTTTTGCTAAAAAAAATTTTTTTTTTTACTTTTGTGCAGCAAATTCATATTACGAGAAACAGCTCTTTATGAATGTGTGTAACATGGCATCTTTCCTAAACTCTGATCTGTTTCACTTTACAAACTGTTGGAAGAGTCCACTGTCACCCTAACTCACAGGTCTGAAAATGCATTTCTTGTTATCCCCCCGCACACACACACACATCCCCCTTTCACTCCCAGTACAAGGTTCCCCTCTCCTCTTTTCAGTTTCTATCAGTGGTGTCGCCATTCAAGCCCAGATGACTGAAATTTAAAGTTTTCTTTGGATCTGGCTAGCAAGACAGAATAGAGTCAGTCATTTCCTAGGCAGCATTAATGCTTTCTTTGAAGTTTCTCCTGTTTTCTTGACATTCTCTCTGTTCTCATCACTGCCACCATAATATATACCGACCCTGTCAGCTCATGCCTGTACTGGTGGACTGGCCTGTCTGTCCAACACACCCTCACTATGAGATTAATCTTATCAAATACCACCCTATCATGTCCCTATTCAGTAAACCTCATGGCTCGCCAGTGGTCCCATATATTCTGGGTTCATCCTCCCCACCTTATTTCCCTTTATTCTCTGACCCTTGTCCTCTGCCCTGTCCTCTTGGTTCCTCTGTTCCTTGCAACAAAGCGTTCTGTTGCCTTTCTCCTAGTCCGTCTTTGCTCAGACTGTTTTCTTACCTGGAATGTCTTTTTCTCTGCTTTTGCCCTGACTGACTAAATTTTTTCCTGCCTTCAAGGACCAGCTCCGCTCCTGCCTCTTCTGCAAAGGCCTTCATAAGGCTGCAGCCTCAGCAGTCTTTTCTCAACTTAGGGTCCGAACCATTCATTTGATTACTTAAGCAATAAATTGCCTTACATTGCCGTTTACATGTATATGTGTATGTGTTTGTGTGTCTTCTCAAGGATTTTTTCCCCTGGGGATTTTTCCAGCTTCAGAAGGAGCAGAAGCTTAAAGGACCTGGAAACAGACACATGATCTATAGATCACAGTAAAAGTAGAGATGTATTTGTTATCTTGTCATTTCTTTTAGATTGGAAACCAGCTAGTACCTCCAACAAACGAATAATAAGTAAATTCATGAAATTTGAGTTTTGGTTATAATTATCAAGAATAATCATTTGTCTAGCTGATAGTATGAAAGAAGGAGGCCAGAACTTCCTAGGTACCAGAAAATGAATGTGTTAAGTTCCACACTGAGAACTTGAGACCCTGTTGTGCAGGGCACAGAATGTGAACTTAAAGTATCTTTGTTACAATTCAAAAACTTTGTTATTTCCTTGCAGATGTTTAAAATTTTAGGAAAGTTAGAGCTTCCCTTTCTGAGAGGGGAAGAAAAGGGCTAATCGTACTGTCTGACTTTTATGAGAAATAAACATTTTAAAAAGACAGAATTTTGGTGATAGAGAAATTATGCTTCTTAGCTAATGTAATAACTCCTTGGGTATTATTAAATAATTCATATATGTTTATCTTAGGGTATATGTTGGAACCAGACCCTGACAAAAGGCCAGATATTTACCAGGTCTCCTACTTCTCATTTAAACTACTCAAGAAAGAATGCCCAATTCCAAATGTACAGGTATGTGAAAGGTGCTTTTTAGGGGAAGTAAACGTGATTGAATTGTCATTTAGCATTCCTGGGGTATTAATCAACTGTTTAAATGAATAAGGCGTCCCTTGCTTTATCTAGTAGGGGGCATTCAAACAAGGCTAACTATGAAGGAGTTGCTATAAAGGGAATCCAATTTTACCATAGAATTTAATTATAAAACTGAGGCAATTTTACACACACACACACACACACACACACACACACACACACACACACACACACACACACACA